GTAATCTTGTGTCAGTTCATTCATATACTTGTACCCCGGAAGTGTATTTTTGTCACAATAATCTTGTAAGGCGTCAGATTATTGCGATTCACAAACTCTAGAGCACCGGCATTCCTTTCGTAGACCCACCATCTCTGTCTTCCTTGATCCGAAAGCAGCTCTCGACTCAGTCGACCGCTCTAAACTCTGGTGCTGCCTTTCTGTGAAAGCTGTGCCCGACAAGTTTATTTCTATATTACAATCGCTTTATACCAATAGCCGTAGTCGAGNNNNGAGATCAATACGGAAATAGCTGTTCGACAGGTTGCCCCTCTCTCCTTTTCTGTTTAACTTTGTTACGGGTCTGATTATGGAAACAGCTCTATCGTCGTGCGGGGACAGCGGTATCGATTTACCCCCAGGTGGCAAGCTGTCTGATCTATAGAAAATGCAGACGACGTTGTGCTACTAAGTGAAGATCCAGGTAAGTTGCAAGCCTTTCTGGATGGTTTGAGTGCTAGTGTTACCAGGTTCGGTATGCGTTTTACAACTTCAGTGTAAAACGCTACTTCAAGACTGCAGCCTCACCCTAACTGGAGAAGTAATAGAGCAAGTAGACAAATTTTGCTATCTGGGCAGCTATATCTCACCCGGTGGACGGAGCACAGATGAAGTGTCAGAGCGCATACAGAAGTCGGCATTTGCCAACTTCAGATATCTGTGGAGCCGTCGCGACATCCGGCTGTCTATCAAGGTTAGAGTGTATACCGCGAAAGTTCGGCCAGTTCGGCTATGCGGCGCAGAAACCTGGCCATCAAGGAAACAGGATAAAGATAGACTGTCGATGTTCGAACATCGCTGTCTACGGAGCATTGCACGAATCTACCGGGGCAGCCGGACGAGCAATGCTGAGGTTAGGTGCACATAAGTGAGGTCGCCCACTGAAGCAAGTAATCGACCTCCATAGATTACGTTGTTTGGGGCATGTGTTAAGCATGTCACCAAATAGGTTGTCATGGCAATCGATGTTCGCCGAGGCGGGTAGTGGGTGGAAGAAAGTCAAGGGTGGTCAGACTAAGACCTGGCACGAGGGTGTGAAAACCCCAACCAGGAGTGTGGGTCACATAGGTCTCGTTAAGCTCCCTGGATGGGGACCTCGGGATGATCATACACGATGGTTAGAGACACTAAGTGATATAGCTGGGTGTCGTAAACAGTGGTGTTTGTGCATCTTGTCCATTTCTCTGCAAAATTAGTGAGTTGAAATCCTAAATTTTCTCTTCGATTCTACTTTCAGCCTTTCCTGCTTTTCATCTAAATGGACAGCAAAGAGACAGCAACCAAAACCGTCGCACGATAGTGCCTGGTTTGTGGTTCTAGAAACTGAGACTGAACTGATTCACAAAAGGTTTTAATTAATAGTAGATATTTAATTTAATTTGAACTAAGAAATATCGTCTTATTGACAAATATTATCAAACACTATTCATTAAAACGATTAGATCACTCTGTGCCACAATAAAAGTACATTTTCCCAGCTAGAAACGTTTGGACATAATCATGCCGACCTGCATTCATACGCATACAAACTTGGTGCGTATGACAATCATTTCAGTGTGAGCGTACCCTGGATGTCCAGCTTGGTGACATTCAAATCCACGATGAACGGCAGTATGGGAGGATTTTCTCGCGGATAGAGGAACATGTTTTGCACAAATCGGGTGGCACAATCGTCCGGCTGGTTGGTGCAGTACGTTCGCACAAATTGTTTTGCAAGCCAAACCTCAAACTCCACCCGGTGTAAATGTGACATCAGATGACGGATCACGCATTGCATGTACATCGGACTTTTCACTCGCATGTCGTCTCGATAGAACAGGTGGTCTATCTGCAATCGCGGATAGGATTGTTTGGAAATGATCGAGAAATATCTATGTTGAAAGCATTATAACTACTAAATGATGGGGTATAATGTTTACACTTGAATGGGGATTTATCAAGCTTTTGACTGTTGCCACGCTATCGGTTTTGATATTCCTAAATGCAAATTCTGATAAGTCCGGATATGGGCTGGTTGTCATAATCAAAATATATGCACGTCTTTCGGATGAGAAATCCGAGATTCAAAGTCCCATGAGTTAAAAATGAGATCAGGACACGCAGCAAGACGTTTCTGCCCACAGTTTCAGCCGGAATACTGCACAACAAGGGGAAGTGATAGGGTGAGAACGTGCCACTGTAATGGCTATAATGTGATACGACTCATCAACCGTGTCTTGTTGACATACCTTACCCACTCAGATCAGTCCAAATGCGACAGCTTCATCAACTGTATACCATGTACACTACACGCACCGTATTTTAGGCTTAACAGTACCGATTTCAGGTAAATGCATGAGACGCTGACCATGACTACTGACTCGGGTTATATAGAGGATACAATCAGCAACATTAACACAGTGCTTTGTTGGCAAACTAGAGCGCAATTCTACAATGTTTACCGTGCAATTGGGGATAAAATCAGATTGCGCTAGAACGTTTTGTTCTAAATTTTGTGTGAAAGAGTTTCGACGTTAGTTATGCTTACGAAGCACAACCGGGGACCAACTGACACTGACCTGTAGTTTGTGAAGTAGCTTTGGATTAAAAGATAACCCTGTTATCTCAGTAACTTTTCATCTGAGTGTTGGCTGTCAACTGTGTAGCTCAGGATTGAAGGGTTCCAACTGCCAACTCAAACCTTTGTGGTTTTGGTCGAGGTGGATTTTGCAAACCGTGAGTGTGTGCCAATATGGACATTATGGACAAAGCAGTAGTCATGTGCACTTTGTAAATCGTTATACATTTATTCACTACGAGAAAATTTTTAAGTATGTTATTACCTCACTACGAACGTATGTTTCTAGACTATTGTGACAGTCAAAAAGCTTATACACCGGGCATGTGAGTGAAATAGAATGTGAATTCAATCGCAATAAAAATGGCGAAAAGCTTTGCACATGCTTGCACACAATTCCCTGATTGAGTTTTTCCTGTGCACCGGAGCAGGGATAAAGTGGATGTATGGAGGCATCCAGCAGGGATGATTAACAAAAATGAGAATGGGTAATTGAATATGCTTGACGGCGAGTAAGGCTGAGCGTCAACGGATATGAAGTGTTTTCAAGAACCTTTATGTCAAACGTCTTCGGAGCAATAATGAGACGATCGCATTATTCAACAAAAGACACCTCCAGAGGTATACTAGACACGAAATAACTGTCGAGGAGTGAAGCGAAAGACCAGGACTAAACCATTTAGACTTTGTTTCTGTGAATTCCTATAGAACTGTCTCAACGGCAACAACAACAACAACAACTGTGTGGTCCATTCGGACTAGATTCCTATCGCTCGGAAAACGGGCAACGGCTGTTGGCTCTACGTTCTGATCACCGCTTATTCCTAGCCAGTACGAACATCAGGCGCTCCAACTGCCGATCCACCACTTGGCGTTCACTTTCCTCGAATCGGCCACAAACACAGATAGATCATATCGCTATAAGCCATAAATGGTGGGATTACACACAAGACTGCTGGTCTTACTAAAGCACTACCCTCGAATCCGATCACGCGTTAGTTTGCACCAAGCTCTCTATGTGCTTCAGTGGGCGTTCTAAAAGTACGACACAGTGGCAGTTAAACTGCGATAAGTTGTCTCAATCAACATGCCTAGCCGTCTTTCAAAACCCGTTAGCTGAAAAGCTAGAATCAACGACACCTGATAACATCGGTGAGGACTGGTCGCTTATCAAGAATGCTGTGCATTCTGCTGGCTTAGTTATTTGTAGTTTGACACGCCTTGTCGTGACACCTTAGATTTCCGTTGAGTCTCTGCGCCTTCTTAACGCACGTTGGTCACTTCCGACCGGCAACGAGAAAAATGTAACACGGCTTGTAGTGAGACGTGAGCTTTAGGTAAGTCTACACAGAGATTGCAAGATCTGGTGGTCTCAAAGCGCATCAGAAATGGAACGTTCTGCCAGCATGGAAAATTCCTGTAAGCTGTTTCATTTCATCCGATTCCCCCGTAGGAAAACTTTGAGTGTGGGCAAAACGATCTATGAAGCAGACGGTTCGCCTATTCACAATCAACAGTGACGTCTTGAACGCAAGGCGGAGCACTTCAAAGAACAGTTTAGCTAACCACCAGCGTCAGCTTCTCACACAGCTATTCCGACACACGTCCCATAGTCTGTACCAACAGATTCACCCTCTGAGGCCAACATCCTTAAGGAAATCCAAGCCTTGGGACGTCACAAAGGGCCGGGCTCCGATGGCCTTCCCCAGCTCCATTTAAAGATGGTGGAATAAAGCTTGTTAGAGGACTCCAAGCCCTGGTCCCTAAAGTTTGGGACATTGAGTA